AACTCCAAGTCAGCAAGAGTTCCCGTCACCTCCAAAAATTTCTCATAACAATGGCTGCATAGGTCGAATCCAATTTTCTCGACTCAGACTGTGCATTTATTAGCCTTCAAATCTCCAATACCCTTTGTAACAGATTGGATTGATTTCAGTCATTTGTTTAATTTAAATTGGAATGATGGATGTAAGGTGATGGGGACAAGGCAGAGATCGGTGTTGGGATTGAAGGTCCAACACTTTTTCCTGGGCATGAGATTGGTCTGGATTTTATGAAATTTAATGGTGGTGTTGTGTGAGTGTGGGGGACGAGAGACCATCATTGTTGGAGAAGGAATCAAGGATGAGCAAACAGTTTCTCCTTGTTTTTTTTTTTTAATTTAATAAAAAACTCATAAGAAAGTATAAATTAGCACCAGAGACTAGCTGGGAATTGAAAAAAGAAATTAACTGGTAAATGTACACACCCTAACGCATACTTAGGGTGGTGTTTATGCAAATTTTTCTAATAATTATTTATTATTTGAGTTATATCTACTATTATTTTGTCAAATTATAAAACTAACAGCATACCTAACATGATGTCTTTTTCAATCATTTTACATAGTCAAAGTACTTGTAATAAAATTTACCAAACATTTTAATACTTTTTTTTTTAATTTGTCAATAATAGCAAAAAATTAGCTCTTAATTTCAAAAATGTTACTTTTTATAAAAAAAATTCAATTCTATCCAAAATCCCACATACTTAAATAGTCAAAAATACCCTCAATTTATACGAATAACTAGTTGTTGATTAAAATATTCTTTGTACTATAAGATGTGATGGACGATATCTGGGTATTCGCATATAGATATATTACTAGAACAAAAGAAGAACTGGAAAATGATAAAAATCCGCAAAAAAAAAAAAAAAAAAAAAAAAAAACAAAGCAATTTGCAAATAATGATTTGTAGGAGAGGTGGATACTGATTCAGTCAGAACTACTACAATTGCTGCATAATCACAAAGGCAATTTGGTTAAAAACTACAGAAGCAATTATGTTAAGCTACAGAAGCAAAATATTTGATTTAATATTGCACAGATTATTAATACAATTAATTGACAATTCCCAAACCAAGATAAGAAGAATGAAAATACACAGAAAGAAAATTTGGCATTTCAAACAGTAGCAGTCACTGATGTTCTAGTTGAATATGGGACCGCGTATTATATAATATATTGCCCAGATAATACATGTGTCAAAAAGTGATTATGTTGGAACTTTAAATAAATAAAAAATCGACGGTGACAATTTTATCACACTAAATTTTCTCCATCTGCATTTTGTCTTTATCTTTGTCTTTCTGTACCTAGACAAATTGCCACAATTACAGAGCCAATACATATGGAACTCCAAACTGATAGCAAAGAACCAAAAATCAGTGTAACCACATTTAGGTACTATCTATTTCTCCAGCCTTCCCAAAAATCGTGAAACCAAAGAAGAAAAAAAAAATACCGACTAAAACATGGAAAGAAATTAAAAAGAAAAAAAACGAAAACAAGGAAAAATTAAAATTAAAATTAAAATTAACCATCTACGTTCATCGTCGTTTAGAATTGCATTCCAATTCACCACATGAAAACCTGCTTAATTAAATGAGTTTGAACACTTTCATGGCCTTGGGCTTACGCTCGCGGAGACCACCAAGTCTATGTTTTCTTCATTTGCAAACTTGTCCAAGCAATCAGCGGCTTTTAGAACTTACAAAAAACCATGATAAAATTCATTGATAACGAACTGACCAAATGCGATTCATGCTGCTATATATAGTTACTTTCATCAAAGTTAAATGACCTCGGCATCCCCATTTGTTCTGGCAGTGAGAACAATTAGAACTACTGTTTGTAAAAAAAAACTCCGATAAGCATCCCCCACCAAATCCCCTGAAAAAAAAAAGGCCAAAATGCATCAGGTTCTATCAGCAGTCCTCACAAAGTAACAATTGTACGGAATGAGTGGGGGAGCAAGTGAACTTACCGCGACTCCCATACTAGCTTTGAAGCCAAGAAGACATCCAACTGGAAAACCAATTATATAGTAACAAACGAGGTTGACATAAGCCACGACATCTTGCCATCCGCTTCCAATTGCCACACCTAAATTCTACACATTTGAAATTAGAAATGATTGTAAACATTTGTATGAGAAGACCTGGATTGTTCATCTGCACTACATCTTCTATCATATTTCGATACCTGAGAGTATTGGTTGAATGCCATTCAAGAAAGCGGAAACAACTAGCAATGGAGTTAAATCCAACACCGCCTCAACATCAGCATCACTTGTAAATAGCTTGATAAAACTATTTAAACAAATAAGGTTTTATTATTTAAAAATAAATAAATAAATAATAAGGTTTCATTATAACAACTAGGTTGATTAGGGACCGGAACCAAAATGATCCTAATTAAAAATCGGGATTGGATTATGATATCATATTATATTATTTCTGTATAGTCTTTCAACGGGCGACTACTGTTTTGAAAAATTGTATTGCTAATTATTTGGACTAGCTCTCCAAACGTGGTCCATTATTTGCTTGACCTAACGTGATCAGCAAGGTTTATTTTGTTAGTTTTTCTTTTTTTATTTTATTAAAACAATAAAATGTCAAGTGCTTTCACTCCAGCATTAATGCTATCATGGAAAAAACATTATTGTGAATATATTGAAAAAGAAGAAATAAAGATACAATAACCTAGAAAGGAATTATTTTGTTAGTTAGAAGAAGGTCCGAAGGTGAGTGTAAGAATTGTATTGCGAATTATTTGTAATTATTGTTTCGAAGGGGCTCCATTTGTTTTCTAACAAAGAAATCTCGATGGAGATTTTATTGATGAATGAGAGAAACAAGTTACCCCTGATTAGAGGGAATATAAATTTAAAATCCATGAATCCTGAACCCTAAACAAAACCTAAACCCCTGAAGGGTTTGAACTTTCAAAGGAAGCACAATGTTTGGGTCGGGTCGTTTATTTGGCGTGACAAGAGGGAGGTTTGTTTTGTTGGTTAGAGGGAAGAGATTTTTCAATATACTTGGAACATAAGCCGATGCATACATTAATTACATGTCATATTACAAATGAAAGGCACTGAATAGTATAATCTTATCTCTATTTATATTATGATACATGATATACTAGTTTATGTTTTATGAACATGAAAAAAAATCTCTCTAGAAGGAGGTCACCAGGGATGCATGCAAACCTCTTCTTCCAGTTCATTATTTAAGAGGTGGCTGTAGGGATGGCAACGAATCGGTTTGGAGACAGAAATGCTATATCCATCCCCATAACCACGAAAGTTAATCATATCCATAACCACAAATTAAACATCGAGTATTATCCATAACCATATCCACTGGATAACGGATTCTCCATCGGTTAACGGTTATATCCATCTTCGTTAGTACAAAAAATATATTCGTTCAATTGACGCATGATAATTTAGTAAATATTAATTTCGTTATTAAATATTTGATGTATAAAATGATTTAATTAATGGATCTTGTGGACCATGAAAATTAAAGCTAAACATTGATAATGTTGGTTGATCTTTGATATCGCTCATAAATACCATTAAATTCTCATAGATTTTGATTCATATCAAAACTATTGAACTTGGCCATAAAATGCAACTCACACAATGCAATTTTTGTATTCTCAAGATAATGGATTCGGTGAATAATGAATATATATATACACACACACATACATATATTATATAATACTTTAATATTATGTATAATTATATTATATATTATTCGATTCGGATTCGAGTACGGATATGGATTAGGGACCCCTATAACCATATCCAAAACCATAACCGAATAATATTCATGGTTTTTCCATACCCAAAATATACCCGAATTTTCATACCCAAATCTAATCCATTCGGATGATTATCCATGATTATCGAGTTTAACGGTTAAAATTGTGATCCCTAAGCAGCTGCAATAATTCTATAGTATGTAGGTAAACAGTTGTGCTGATTAATTTGTAGGACAGTTGGGCACTCGGAGAGAGGAATCACCTAAAAATGCTTCAGTATATTTAATCCTTTTTAACACTTTAGCATTTAATATTGTTGATTGCTTCAGTATATGCTTTGTGCACCTGACTGCCAAGGATTCTTGTTGAAATAGTTGCTTGTAGGCTGTGTCTCATAAACCACTACTTGATTAATAATATTAGCTAAGACATTATGTCCTAATTAACTTTTTCATTACTTTCCATTTTCTTAGAACATTACAAAAATTAAGGGGTGAATGGAAAGAGATACATACAGGTAAATAATCTCTACATTATTTTCTATTAGTAAGTTTTAAGGAAGGATTGTCTCCATGAAGGATACAATACATTGTAATCTTGAAAATCTGTAAGATTCCACATCGCGGGGAGATGTGATGTGCCTTATATGTACATACCCACCTTCCTATAGTGAGACGCGTTTTGGATGGAACCCCAAGAAAAAAACCGTGAGGGCCTAGCCCAAAGCGGACAATATCTTACTATACGGACTGGGATGTGATAAACTCTCTTGGAACGGTAAGTAAAAATGGATTTGGATCCTCTCTTGAGCTCAAAAGGCTGTGTCTCCTGAGCAAATAACACGGACCGTTGGATTTTGATCCAACGGCTACAATTATTATAACTCCCTGAGCTCAGCAGAGGATTCAAATACAATGAAAATCTATCATTCATGTTTTTATACATGAAAAAGTTGAGATTTTATTATAAAATTAATTAGCAATATAGGGAGTAACTACCTAAAAACATAAATAAAATCATTTTTTTTTCTCTAATGTGAGATTCATACCCTAAAAATAGGTACAGTTTAGCAGGCCTCACACACTACTTTTATTTTATTTTTATTTTTATTTTTTTTGAACAAAACCAGCCCTCACACTTAACAACAAATATTAGGTGACAACTTGTTACTCTAAACACCTTTCAAAATAAAGTTTATCAAATCCTCAACTGTTTTATTTTACAAATGACTATTCTCAAAGCACAACAGAAACTTTTTTTTTTTAAGGGTAATGCTAGGGAGATTTGTAAATAGCACAACAATCTTAAACTAACCCTACATCTAATGCACACAGATCGCAATAAAAACAACATTTATTTTTCACTCTGTCCTGATAAACAAAAGCGGTTCCACATCAAATGGTGAAGAAAATGATGTGCTAGGTTCATGGGTCGATGCCGAATCAACATCCCAAACCTCGTTCATTCGAGTTTGGACATGATCAACGTCAAAATTTTGTTGGACGTCAAAATTTTTCAATGATAAATGAATTCCCTGCAGCTCCGCTTCTACTTCTTTCATAGTAGGACGCTTTTTTCCATTCAAATTCAAGCAACTTTTTGCAAGATTAGCAACTACCATGATCTCTTCCTTCCTGGCATCTTTCACAACTCGGGCATCAAGAATATCGAACAAACGATTCTCGTCCATGGAAAGAAGAAAATAATGTGATAGGCTCATGGGTTCTTGTGACTCTGTCTTAAAAATTGGTTTTCTTCCTGTCAATAGCTCAACAAGGACCACTCCATAGCTATAAACGTCACTCTTGTCCGTAAATTGGCTAGTCTGAAAGTACTCCGGGTCCAAATAACCGAATGTTCCATTTACCTGTGTCATGGTAAGGTGTGTTTTGTCAATGGCGACAGATCTTGATGTCCCAAAGTCTGCCACTTTGGCTCTGTATTTATCATCCAACAGTATGTTCGAAGACTTGATGTCTCGGTGGTAAATAGGACGGGAAACTGCCGAGTGTAAGTATGATAGTGCTCCTGCAACTTCGGTTGCAACTCGTAACCGCATCTCCCATGTAAGAGGAAACTCCTCATTCTGGTGCTGAATATAATGAGAGAGTGTTCCATTCTGTATAAACTCGTAAACCAAAAGGGGTACTTCGGTCTCCAAACAGCAGCCCATTAATTTAACCACATTCTTTTGAATAACTTGTGACAGAATGACAATTTCATTGATGAATTGTCTCACTTCGTCTCCACTAACTACACTTTTCGACTTCTTGACAGCAACGATTCTCCCATTTGCTAACATTCCTTTGTATACGGTACCTTGGCCTCCCTGACCAAGAATTCTCTCTGCACTGAAAAGGTCCGTGGCTTTTTCCAACTCCTCTGCACTGAACAATTTAACTTTATCAACGTTAGCTTCACCGGAAGATAGTTGCTGCTCCAACAAGAAACCGCCATTTTGTTGAAAAAACTTCTGCTTGCGGTTGATGTCTTTCCTTTTCATTATGACTTTGTGCGACCACCATGCTCCAATGTGTATAAACAGTAGGCCAACAATGCAGCTGATAACTGAATAGCTCAATTGGAAGAAAAAAAAAAAAAAAAATTGGTCAGATACATTGTTCCTTCTCGTATATAATCTAATTAATGCAGGGATGGTTTGAAACAAAAAAAAGTTGTGTAATATTGGAGGAGCAAACGCTAGAAATGCTAATACCAGCTGCCATAATCACAGGTTATCTTGTTTTTGGATTTGAAGAGAGTAACACTGTACCTATAATGGCCACATTAGCCCGTGATAGGCATTTAATCGACCCAGACCGATATTTGCATTCATCAGTATCTGCATTTCAGAGACAGAGGAACATAAAAAGTTCAATGGGGATGTAAAATGCATATAATTTCAAATGAAAGCCTCAACGAGGTGTTTCTTGTCCGGAAGGTCCGGCCCAAAGTTCACCAAAAAATTCATCCTGATGCGTAACATTCACTGGAAAAATGTTACGGGCTCTTTGTCACATTCCTTTTCGTTTATAACCTCAAATTCAAATTATGATTCCAAGTGTAATTTCATTTCAAAAAGAATTTCATACGAAATCAAAAATGAAAACTATTACCGAACAACTCTCAAGTACTATTCAATGTTCTTGCTATTTGAAAGGTGAAAACATATACCAAACATTAAGCTTCCTGCTTTTTTAAAATAAAAATCAAATAGAACCTTAGGGCTATCTTTTGGTGAGGAATTTTTGAGTCCCAAGGAACTGAGGCCAAACTAGTGAAGAATGAATCACAAAATGTTGGATTTAGGGGATTAAAAAGGCTGTTCATGAGTATTAAAAGGCATGTGAGAGGGATTTGCAAATCCTAACAGGGAGGAAATCCATCATCCACGCTTTTATAATAATTATGAAGGGCATTTCTAATCCCTCGTATCTAACATTTTGAGGTTCATCTCTTACTAATTTGACATCAATAATCTCTTGGGTCTTGGAAATCCCACGCCCAAACATAGCCTAGATGTCTAGAAAGTAGAAAAGAAAAGAAGTTTGTACATCGTTTTGAAGTTTGAATAAAATGATAGCTAGACATGTACCTTGACATCCACCAACGACGTAGGGGTTTCCTTCAAGGCCTTTTGCGCAGACGCAAGTGTTGTTACTTGTGCAGACCGTGCTCGAACTTATTAGCATCGCAAAAGGTTCCATATATATCCGATTTCGTAAATTGACTCCAGTTCCATTCGAGCACTGCAGGGACGCCTACCAATTATATGGGTCAACAACAGGAGACGTCCATGCTTCGTCTATCAAGAATGCATACTTGCAACTTCCGGATCCAGAGGTGGTATCACTCGCTTTCAAGGATCATTCACTTCTTGAAAGCTAGTGTTGAAGTTTGTAAGATTGCCGGGAATGGTGATCTGGCAGCAGTTACTACCATTGCAGTTATTAGGCCCATAAGCTTGATCAAGTAAACCACCCTTGTCACCACAAGTCGCCGAGCACCATCCAACTGTCGAGCCATTCATCAACTTCATCGAGGTATTTCCACCACAGCTCACTGAAACGAGCCTGTTCCTTTTAGAGAACACGAACGGGCTTCCTGTCAAGTTGGGTGCTTGCTCTGCAAGTGGCCTTCCGCAATCACTAAAGAAGGTAATCGGGTTTCTGACACTTAGTGTGCCATCCATAGATAAGTTCAGCACTTCAAGTTGTTTCAGACTGGCATGGTTCAAGCGAGGTATGGGTATGCGAGGGTAATTATTTGTGGAATTGTCACAGGTTATTTCGAACCATTCGTTCATGAAACAACCTGCTCCAATTCCAAAAGGATATGGGATAGGTATCGTATCCATACCACAATCTCTTTGACAACCTTGCTTAGCTAAACTGGGCTGCGAGGCTACTGCTGGTATTGCATTGCTCAAAGACCACAAAAACAGCGTAATTTGAATGAGAAACTGCACAACCTCCATTTTTTTTCTGCTTGTTCTTCCTCTTCTCTTCTTTACCTTCCTATATATTGAGCCGTGCCGTGTATAGTGAAGCTTGGAATAAACAAACCGCGTGATAAGCCAAGTCTCAACCTTTTAGATCCAGAGAACTAGTATTTCTACACCCACCGAAGTCGTTGGAGTCATTTGAAAAAACAATAAGCTTGTCATTATTTTCATTGAAATGGTAAACGAGAAAATATGCTAACAGAAGATTTGACACACAATTGAGCACGGTGGTGGTTTTTTACGGCCGATCTCATTTAGTTGGATAAAACTTTGCTGTTTGGTTGATGAGGAAATATGACACGTGCATACAAATAACAGTAGGAATTAAGGTGGTGCAGGCTTGTTTTTCTCATTTGCAATGTTTCGCAGAAAGCTGTTTGCTGCTTCCAGGTGCTCGGTGATGTTTAATTTTTCAAGGAAGATTTGTCCACACAAGGATATATTCGTACACAACAACTATAGTAGCAGCTATACTTGACTAATTAATACATGATTAGTAGTCATCTTTACAGTCAACACTCAAACTTTGAAAATTCTTAAAAGACGGATTCTTAAGATGTTTGATACCGACACGACTATAATATGTTCGATGGATGATGTTAAAGAGAAACCATCTATTTGCACCATATTTTGTAGACCACAAAACGTGACAGTTGATGATTAGACTCCTTTAATGACTTAGCGTTAAACCAATAAACTAGTTTCGGCTATACACACACACACGCACACAACTTAAAATGAAACCTACCTCATGATTCTCAATATAGTAATTGAACTTAACCAGTCTGATTCATGATATGCTTTCGACTTCAATAAATAATAAATTACAGGACAAGATAGCATACAAAGTGCCATCGGAATCGGACATCAAACTCTTACAGTACGTGTGTTGTTCTACATGTTGCAGCGGTAGTTTCAGAAACAAGGTTCCTTCCTACTATAATTTACAGTATATAATTATAAGCTGACATGCAAGCTTCAAATAGACTTTGCCTAAGCAGTACATCTCACTGACCACATAAAAGGGTAAAACAATGCTAACGATCCATTTACGAAAACACTACCAGCATAGTATAACACTCACCATTCACCGCCAATTTGCTTAATTTTCCATTTTTAGCAAAGCATTGGCATTTAGTAGTCGAGTGATCCCAAAGATGCAATCCCATTCCTTGAGTTTCTCAAGTCCTGTCGACCCACGTAGTCAACGGTGGTGTTGCTACCATTGGAAAGTTTATTGTTTGGGACAGACGCCACACTGTTGAGGCCTTCCTTTCCCATTTGTTGCACTTCCAGAGGCGAGAGTATCTTGATGTAATACACATTGTTCACAAACTCCCTGAAGATAAACAAAGAATCATTATACCTCCAGCGAATCATGACAAGAATAGTTTCAAAACTCCAGAAGCCAAATGTCATATAGAAATGCACAATAATGACTTAAAATCTCGAAAAGGTGAGAAAATAGTCAAAGACTTTAGATGATGTAAACTAGTCCTAGGACACTTTGAACCTTGAAGCATTGGTCTAATATTTATCGTTTTTGCTCTCTACAAATTGACATACAGCATAAAATGTTAATAGTAGCTGCTTAACATTAAAACTTCGCATTCGCACAGTGATTTGGCATGACACATTTTACAAACTATCAGTAATGATTGAGACTCGTGGGAAGCTCTACCTTTAGCACTGCTTATGCAAACAGCCAAGAGTGTAACAATAATTGACAAATACAAGAAAAATCATGACAATTTGGTACTTACTGCCAAGGGTCGTCACCAAGGAGAAGAACATCATTCTCCCTGTCAACAAATACAAGCTGCCAGCCTGATCTCTGAGGGTCCTCCAGTTGGCCTTCAAGGCCAAACATACGTGCGAGCTCACTGCGCAGATCATCATAGCTGCTGAATTTAGAAATATCCAGTGACCTCCCAAAGGACCCTAACTTGTGAACCTGTCAAATTGCACCATTTTAATATGTAAAAAAACAAGAGCTATCGATGACAAGTGCTAGGTTTGAAAAAGCAAACACTGATCATGAAGCATTTGCCTTGCCAAATACAATCACCGACAATGGTCCATACATCAGACCATCATGTTCAAGATAAATATGCTTGTAAATAACTATCAAAATTATCCCATCTTACCTTCACAAAGGTTCCAGTTGGATTTACTTGGTCCACATTTTCTGAAGACTGCAAGAAACCTGATTCATCTACACAACTTGATGTAGTCATGTCGGAATTAAGTGGAAAATCATTGCCTGTGCCACTGGCATAATTGGAAGCACCAAAGGGCACGGACACTGAATCATTTCCATTGCCAATATTTCTCAGGTTTGGAATCCCATTATGCAGCATAAGAGATGATGAATCAATGTTCACCCCAAACAAAAGATTGCTTTGGGGATCAGTACCGCCTTGGAATGCAGAGTATTCTCTACCAGGAAATGGAGGCAAGGCAGTGATCTCAGAGAAACTTGACTGTGGTGTTCTCAACTGTTCCACCTGTGGAAGTACACATTGAGCAGCTCCAGATGATAGCTGCGGTTCACCAGTGGTCTGCTTAGATAACAAGGAAGAAGAAATTGCAGAGTTGGATCCGCTTAAGTGAAGTAAGTGGGATGTTCCATCCTGTGATAGCGAACCTAATATACTATGTATAGGGGGAACATCAGATGAAGGTATAGGATTTCCAACAGGGTCAGGAAAGCTCTGCTGCTGAGATTGCGAAGAGATAGACTGCATAGATGCAGACTGGGATGGAGTGATTGAGGCAAAATTAGGAAGAGCAGACATAGCATTCGGGATCTGCTGCTGAACAGACAATTGTTGCATATGACGGGATTGTTGAAGCTGATGTTGCTGCTGCTGCTGATTCAGCTGCTGTTGTTGCTGCTGCTGATGATGATGCTGATGCTGCTGCTGCTGCTGCAGCTGCTGTTGCCTCTGATCACTATAGGGATGGTAACGCTGCGACTGTTGTTGCAAGACCTGAGCCTGAGCTGGAGCTTGGTTTTCTTGAAAGCTCTGAAGAAAAGCATTTTGAGACTGAGACTGAGGCAAGACCTGTCTTTGAAGCACAGCAGCTGCCCCATTAGAAACACTTGAAGATTGCTGGAAGGGCAGAAGAGACTGTGAAGAACATTTTGAGAATCAACTGCCCTCATTTCTTGAAGTGCAGCAGCTGCCATTGCTTGGTATACATCGGGTTGTAGACCTGCCATAGACGCATCAAGCCTTGGTTGCATCCAAGGAGAAACTCCAAATCCCTGGAAGTTCAAAGATTGCATCCCCTGATCTCCGAGCCCTCCTTGCAGCCACATCAGTGGAGAATTAATGCCCATATCACCGTCTTTTAGACCTGAAATGAATATACCACTAAGTATCTGAGGGGGCAAAAGAAACAAAACAATTTGAGAAAAGACACCAAGCACTCTTCAAGCAAAAAAAAACAAAGATACCATGGAAAGAGGGAACGCCCGATGCCCATGGTCGCTTTAGTCTGAGGGGGAATGGGGATGGATACATTGGGAATGTTGTTAGTGGTTCAATCTCCCACAATGATACCCTTGGCTGCCTCTCCCCAGCAGTGGATTCATCCCAGCCAACCTGCATTAGCAGAAAACACGTTTACAAACCTTACAAAGTTTGAAAAAGTTAAAAAAACCTGGCCCCACCGCAAAAAAAAAAAATTGTCAAACTTATAATAGAAATATAGTGGAATTTAAATAAACATCAAAATCAGCAAATGCTCTCAACAAACCTTCACAGAGCGCCAATGGGAATTTGGCCAGCGAACAGAATCTAAGTCACTGATGCCAGTTATTGTACCCATGTATCTGAAGGAAAACAAACAAAATAAATAAGAAAGGTCAATAACCTATATAATACAAGTATGAATAACCAGTTAATTAAATGTGAACCATAAACTACATATTGAAATCGAACTAAGAAGATAACATAACCTACCGACGGACACTAGACTCTTCTGTCTCAAACAGCATCCTAAATCGCATGCCCACAGAAACCCGAGTATGATAGACAGCTTTAACATACTTGGCCAGGGGTATCACAAATTCAGATGGACTAGCCCTGCGTTGTAAGAAAATTGAGGAATAAGATGTAAATGGTAGTATTTATAATCTGGAGAAGTTGCAGATACTCACCTTGGATTATAAAAAATAGTAAAGCGACTATTTGTTGCAGCTGCATGAGCTGCAGCAGCAAGAAGACCAATGTGCATGCTGTCACTTGACAAAACTGATGAGGGCATGACAGTCTGTGGACGATTTGCTCGCCGAATACCTAAGAGCAACTGATTCTTTTCATTCCTGATTGAAGACAACATATTAGTGATGAGAAAAATGATTACAAAAATTCTTAACATAATAAATACAACCCCCATCACCCCTCCAATAACAGAATAACAGTTTAAAATTACCAGATAAAGAGGACCGAATCACCAGCAACAAGTCGTTTAGCACTAACAAACACGCTCCATCCTGTCGTGAGAAGATGCCTCTTGGGCTGGCCTGCACAATAACATGGAAAAATGCAATTAGAAGCCATAATTACATGTTCAGAACAGTATAAGTTGGAAAAAAAAAATAAATAAATAAGAGAAACTAGGTAAAGAAAGTAGAAACAATGTGATCAAGATCTTTGAAATTCTTGCCTTCAAGTATGACAAGGGCAATTAGAAACAGAAAGTTCTAACATCATTGGTCAATAAGCTCTAAAGTCACTATTCCTCTGACCAAAACAAAATAAGCTCTAAAGTCACTGTTCCTCTGACCAAAAAAATATCTCACTGGTCCTACCCATCAATTTCCTTGGATATTATGTGCCCCACTGATTTGCTAGATAGACAAGTATGGAGGAAAGAAGGATACTTCAAGTCATTTATTTTCCACATCGTCATTTGGTGTATATGCAATTAGTATAGCAGGTTGGTTCATTTTATAGATTTCCAGTGATACAATCATATGACATGGATACAGCTGATGCCTGTAAATAAAAACATTTCTCCAAAATTTTCATTTTTGACATTTAAAACCAAGGAGTGTCTGAACTATGACGTACCACTGCTCTCAGTTACCTTACTTTGGCATCTAAGCTAGAGCAGGTAACTGAAGAATGATATGTGAAAAACGATAAAAGATAATAACAGCAGATAAAAAAGAGAAATCTAAAGTAATCCACACTCACCTCGAAATATATGTCTGAATTTCCATTCATTATCATGTAGATCCCTTGCAATTAGTTCCTGGGCAGGGGGCTGCTGCGCGTAATCCTGAGGAACAGTAAAAGTAAAATGAACGAAACCAAGTTTACGATATGAAAATATAAAGAATCGAAAAGTGATGATCAAATGAGTTGAAGAAAAGGACACCTACAAGAGGAGGAAAGACTTTTTCAGCTGCACGGCGGGGAACTGAGAATCCTCCATGCGTGCTAGTATCACTTGCAGTCAAAGTTTTACAAAAATAGTTGGTTGGCTGTTTGCTGGCAGCACCCAACTCTGCAGGCAGTAGGTATACATCTTTTTGCTCTTGCTACAAAATAGTTTATGTCAGGACATGAAAATTACTTGACTCACAAATCAAAATTTAAACACAGCCAAGTGCATTACCGGATTTAATGGTTGTAGGGTCATTTGAGCATATACTTCATCCGTCTCCACATCTGCCTGTACCATAGAAAATTAAAATTTCAAGGAGCAGCCTAGGAAATTGGTACAGAGAAGATGCAAATAGGCTGACACTTACGTGCATTGTCACATTGTGTAGCTGACAAATTAGTTGTGGAGGCAAGTTGGGGTAATTGGGAAAGTGGGCATCCACTTCTTTGTTGGTTGATGCAGCAACCTGTATAAGAAATACCAAGAATTAAAAACAAAAAATGAATACATTCTGTAAAGTTAGTGTTCAGGACGAAATGATTAGATATTAGACGAGATGATTAGTTAGATATTAAACATTTCAGCTGTTTAAGCAAAGTGTACTAAAAAAATTATGGACTCTATTATAGTAATTGAGGTAATGATTTGTATAAAATGCTTAATACAAAGTTATAGCTATACGGGATGCTCAATATCAAACAAAAATGAAGCAAATACCTGAAGAAAAAAACTGTAACTCGCCCTTTATTTATTTATCTATTGATTTTTGTATAGGAGTAAACCATCCTTTACAAATGAAAATATACATGTGATTAAACAACATGCTGACATTCATATGTATAGTAATTTTATTATCCAGATTCCAGACCACAAGAATAATTACTCAATTTAAGATCTGCTTTCAATAATCAAGACACAGGGCGACACAAAACACAGAGTTGACACCCAATTCAAACTTATTAGACAAAAACTAAACAATGGTAACAAGAGGCTAAGTCCCTAAATCAACAAACAAACGTCCCTATTCTACAAACTGCAAACCAAACAATTGTTTTCTGCAAATACCATTCAGAAAGCAAAAGAAAAATTCAACAATAAGTGAGATAATGATGCAGTTGCTGACCTGCTCGCTGTGGCCCTGTGGAAAGTAGACTACACGACATCCAAGAAGAGGCAGAGACACCAGAGGGCCAGCACAGGCATGCCATAGCTCAGAATTCAAACATTTCTTCTCCCCTGCATACAGGTTCTATGCTTGTGTGAGTATGCATGACATAAACATCCATATAATCAAAATCCAAACCGTTGCAGATAGAAATGAAAGCCTAGGTTTAGTGTTAAAGGAACGTTGTTAATTCTTTTTACAGGAACAAAACTTCCATTCCTAACCCCATCAAGCATTATGCGCAGTTAAGATAATTAAGATAATTGTACAATTACGCCTTGTTTAAAGTCACCAAACTTAATTTCTCAAACACAAAAGTAATGCATGCATAGAATGTCACTTTCTTTACCCTGAAATAACTACCTAATTAAGAAATGCACAGGTGAAATAAATACAGACTAGGTCTGTTCAATGACCTCATAAAGATTGCCTAAAACGTAGGGTCAATAACTTTAGACAAAACCCCAAACAAAAATAGCATAAAATCATGCAGGACAATGCCTCAGAGTGAAATAACAAACGCTTTGACAAAAATATTAAATTTCAGACGAAAAAAAATGGAAAAAGCAAATAAAGGGAAAAAAATGCATGCCTTCCTGAAGCTGATGGTTAAACCCCGGAGATGATGACGAAGACGAAAGCCTCATGGTTTGAAAAGCCGAAAAAACAGCCTCCTTTCACCGCCTGCTGAAACCCCCTTGAAACCCAACTCAAAGATTCAAGTACCGTCCCTCCTTACTTCTTATTAACACCCATTACTGAGCCCCTTCGCCACTATTTCATCAAATGCTGAGAAAAAATGCCCACCCCCACCCCAAAATAAAACCAGAAGATTTAATCTACCCTTTTGGGAAAATCTCATCCAAAGCCAGTGCCAATACAAAACACAACTCCCGTCACCCTCATACGCCCCAGATCTTATTTACCCTAACAAAACCCTCCACATTTACTCTAATTGCAACCCTAAACCCTAACTCTCACCTCCAAAGCTCAGAAATTTATCGACTTTAGCAAGCTCCAGAGAAACCCTAGACAACCCAGATCTCAGAAATTGAAGAGCAACTTAGCAAGTGAAGTAAAACAGAGAATTGGGGAACTCTTACTGAGCTGAGAGCGACATTTTCAGAAGCTCCGATTTGACTGCCGAAAGAGATGAACTTTGAGCTTGAGAGAGCTTGTTTGCTCTTGCTTGAGAAGCTGCTGATGAGAGAGAGAGAGAGAGAGAGAGAGAGAGAGAGTTGGACGTCAGAGAGAGAGAGAGAGCTTTATTGGTCTTCGTTGAGGGCGTGTTTGGTCTACGATCAATTAATACAGTGGTAATTATTGCTGGTGGGGTAATGTAATGTTCATAGGGATGGCTGTCAGAAAAAGCAAATGGAAACAGGACCAAAAATCTAACCCCACTTTCCTTCCCTGTTGTATCATATTATTTTCCCTCTTTTTACATTCTTGCTCACTATCCATGTCGTGACTAAGGGATAGTTTGGTATTGTTGTGCTTTGCAAAAAATCTGCTTCTATTGTGCTGTGAGAATAAGCAGCTGCAAAATAAAGCAGCAGAGTGTTTGGTAAACTTTTTTTGTAAAAGTGCTTTTGAAAAAAAAAACAGTATTATAGTGTTTGGTAAACTTTTATGTAAAACAGATGTGAAAAAAAACTAGTTTTTCAAAGCTGGGTTTTGCAGCTCCTTGTTTTTGGCTTTTTTTTCACCCAAAACTGTGAAAAAAAGATGAAGCTGAATGTTTACCAAACACAAAAACAGCTTCTAGCTTTTTTTTATACCAGCTTTTTTCAGAATCACCTCAGTACCAAACTAGGCCTAAACTCTCGGTTCGATATCAAGCGTGTAGATTAAATGAACGTGTTTTTAGTGTTTTACTTAACTCATAATATTAGATTCAACAGTGGTTTTAGGCGCGGTCTGCTTGATTTTGGAATTTTTTGAAGAGAGGGAAGAAATAAAAGTTATAATTTTGGAAGTGATTCGATTCTGAAATTCTAACTAGAATAAAATCGTGAAGGAAGGCCTTGATAGTGAGTGGAGGGTTGGATTAGGAATAATAGTGAATGAAAAAATAACATCTTAATTTTTTAACTTTTTTTAACAAGTGATATTATAATGTAATAAAAAGACAAGACATTACAATAGATCTAATAGTCCTCTAAAAAAAAAATAAACAATCCTTAATCATCTAGTGACACAAGAGAATACCCATCTTGCCCAATTCCAAACAATTCTTTCTCTTTTTGCCTCATTTGGAAATAGCCAGTCTTTTTCATGTTAACTTTTTGGAAGAAAAAAAATTATTGGGGGGAAAGATGATTAGGTTATCATTTGGTTGTCCATATGAATTCAATAAATGGGATTACATTTATAGGGAGGCCTCTTATCTCCTATTGTTTTCCCCACAAAAGCATGGATCCAACTTCTATGAATATTTGTTAGGGAGGCTTAATTTGTGCTTGGATTGAGTTTAAATGCTTACAAATTAATATAACTTCTCCTTGTGCGCCCACAAGAGGCAATTTCCTTTAAAGGGTGTTCTGAAATAATAAAAATGGTTGTGAATTTGTGATGGTTGCTGGTCATAGTTCAATGTGTCATCTGTCAAGTACTTAAAACCTTAGTTGTCAATTCAATCCTAGCTGCCACAAATTAATGTTTGAAAGACTTCTTGTATTTTACTACCAAATTATATGTCCTTGTTTTGGTACATACAGCTTCAACGTGATCATTGGTTAAGCTCATTTTTTGTGTGAAAATTACTTTTCAATCGTAAAAATTGTTTAAGAAGTTATGTATTTTGCAAGGAATACGTGTATAATGAAAGTTTATCACATAAGTGTAGGTAGGCTTTTTTCATTGTGTGCAAGTTCAATGATACCTATACCTCAAAGAATTTCTCTTAAATTATAAGAGATTTGACGCTATCTTATGTACTACAATATAATATGATTCTAAAAAAGATCATGCAACAGATATTTAATAGAAAATTATTTTATTAACAAGTAGCTTGGCATAAACTAAGTATAGCATGGCTCTCCCGTGAGAACCATATCTTGACCACATTCAACAAAGGCTATGTGTGCCATTGAGATTATAGATGCATCGATTCCCCATGCTTTTTGCTGTATTTTAAAAGAATTTTAACAAAAAACTTCCGGTAGTGTTTATTTAAAAAAAGAAAAAAATCATATTTTTACATTAAAAAGTTAATCCTAGTACTATCCATTTTACCCTTTATTTTATTTTATCCATTAATTTTCCTTTATTTTAACTCAACCTGTAGCCTTGGGTTCAAATTAACATAATAAAAAATTATCTTCCTTACAACCACCGTCATTAATAACGCATCACGCGTTAATTCCACACTCGCAGGCTTCACGCTTGTATATGTGGTTTGAGTCAGCCATGTAAGATCTTTCACACCATGGCAACATTCTGCCGGGCGGGCTACCTGTGCCATGGGTGAAATATGGAATGCATGAACTTACAGTCACTGCTTTCACGCCAAGGACCTCGGCTTTCCCCAGTTCAACCAAGGCCAACATGGCCAGCACCGCCACCACCACCACAACCGCCGCTATAGCAACACCCTTCAGTTTTTAGGGGTTTTGAGATCAATCAGTACTCTAGTGTTTACCCTAATCCTGAGCTTCAATTGTTAGCTTCTAGTTGTGGTTTTGGCAGGTCGGTTTGAGGTGTATTTATAGTTGGTAATGGTGGATGTGTTCAATTGGTGTGATTTTGGGAGCGCATTGCATGCTCTCTAGCTACTTCTTACTTGAATCCATATCTCAAAACACTGAAAACTTCCCAATGTTAGGGAAAACAAGAAAACTTCCTGCTGTGTCCCAAAACAAGTTCGTTGCTGTAACAAAATTATACATGGAATGCAACGCATGATACATTGGTTTGACTATTTTTCACGCTTAAATTCACTTTCATTGGTAAAGTGTTCATATGTGCAGGTGATATGGGACAGTCTAAATATTGGTCATATATATAAAGGGCCTTCAAAGTAATTGGTTTGAATAATTAAAGTTCGATGAAGAGTAGATCCAACAACTAAACTCTATTTTTTCAAGACATGAGAATTTTTTCATTTAAAAACTCTGTGTCTATATATAGAGTGAGATATCCAACGGACAACTAAGATTTCTTTATTTTATTAAATACAATGTTATCTCGTACATAACAAGTAGGTTGAATAAACTAGTAGGCATAGCATGGCTCTCTAGTGAGAACCATAACTTGACGACATTCAACCAAAAGCTAGCCAATGCAGCCGTTGAAGAAGATAGCAGCAGCATCCCCCATGCTTCTCTCTCTTTATTTCAACTCAATCTGCGGCCTTCATTTTACTCAATACTGTTCATACAAAAGCAAAAGACATTAGCAGTAGCAAGCACGTGATGATCACACATCGAAACACGTAGCACGTCCTAATCACATGGCCAGGCGGATTACACAACAATTATTAGTAAGAATTTTGTAATACAGTACATGAATTACTTACTTGTTGCAGTCGACGCTCCTAGAAATTGGAACGTTGATCTGAACTCGGCATGCCGCGGGAAGGCCAGCCGCAGCAGCTTCCTTAATGTCTTGGTTTTGATTTGCTGCGTCCATGAGGCACTGGCAGGCTGTGCGCCTATCTTCGGTGGTTTGAGTGAGCTGTCTCAGACCCGAAACACCACTGCAACATGCCACGGGAGGGGTGCCAGAGCCGCTGGTAAGATATTGAAGGCAAGGAGTCACAGATGACACTGCTTGTTGGCAAGTGACCGTGGCATGGCCCGGTTCAGCAAAGACCAACATGGCCAGCAGCACCACCACTGCCGCTATAACGACGCCCTTCATTTTTCAGTACTTTTGATTTTCGAGATCGATTAATGAAGTGCTAGAGTGTTTAGTTACCTTAATCGTGAGCTTAAATTGTTAATGTAGGTTTTGGTATGTAGGGTTTGAGGGGTATTTATAGCTGCCAAAGAAGGATATGATCCAAAACGATGACGGGATTTTTGGTGTGAAGATCAGAAGCCGTTAAGGAATGAACTTGTGCTTTTCTTGCTCTGATATGGGAAGGTTGAGCATCCTTTGCATGCTGTCTACATCTTCACTGTGTTAGGCTTTTCATGCATGCCATGGTCGTTACAATTTTCTTCGAAAATGAGAGTAGATTTGGTTTTATTGACAAGTGTTAAACAAATTGTTTATTATCCATATTATCGTTAAGTAAGGGCATGTTTAAAATTGCTTATGGAATGGCTAAAAAAGTTTTCTGACCACCAAAATACTCCGTTTTATAAACAAACTTTCTTGACAATAATACTAAAAGTACATAGGCGTCATAGAAGCACTTTCTAATCTAGTGCTGTCAGATGCTTATTCAAGAAGCATATGCTAGGTACTCTCTCAGAAAAACTTGCATTTTTAATGAAAATTTCAATATACTTCTAATAAAAGCACTTTCAACAAATGCGTGCAAAAGCAATCTCAACCAACCCTAAACACTATCTGCCGAATCAGAATGTATAGAATGCGATTTTCAAACCGAATAAGGTTAAGGAAATTTAAAGATTTTATTGTGTTCGTGTATGTGGTCTGCTTTTAATTACAGAACAAGGAGACTGCTAACCAATGATGAGCAGGTTTTGCAATTGTATTATAAAAGCGTGGCGTTAGAGAGACCATATTTCGAAAATCACATTTAAATCATCTCTCTAATTAAATAAGACCCGCCAAACAAATCTTACCAACCGCTATTAGGAGACAAAAAATTGAACAAACAACAAAAACACACGAGGAGCTTTTGCTTCACTTGCAACCATTTTCTTTACTTCACTATTAACACTGATACTTTTACATGAAAAACCGAATTCTATGCAGATAAAAAAATTGATAATCACTTCTTAACCCCGAAAAAATATTGATGATGATTTCATTTTCAATTTTGATCTGCTTGTTTCTCTTTCACTTCGTCGTGATCATTTCGACTATACAATTCATAGACTAGGTAAAACAACAACAGTCAGCTCTTGAAGGCTTCCTTCAGAGATTCTTTCATGCAACAATTCCATGCTAGCAATGCTGCTCCAACTGCAGGCTCAACCTGATGGTTGATTTACGAAAACAAATACCGCAGTGTTGTAAGTAAAATGTTAGAAATTCTACAAGATAATATGTGTATTAGAGAAACAATTGTCATCTACTAGCTGAAATTTGTTCCTTCCGCAGACTACTTGTGTGTTATCGATTTTTCATGTACTCTCTAGTTATCAGTTTGATGAAGCTGCTTTAACGTTTTATTCAGAGGAAAGCGTAGAATTCAACGAGAGGGAAGCCCGACACTAGGGACTACTTAAGAAGCCATCAACCGAAAGTAGTTGGCTCACCATTTAAATCTTATTTGCTGAAAATGTAAAAGTTGATTGAAGTGAGGCATAAGATGTGTTTACCTTAGGCCTAATTGGAACTGCCCCTGGGTAATCCTTGGAGATGCATTTGATGACTTCCGTTCCTATATCCCACCTTTTGTTTGCTTCAAGAACACCACCAACCATGACGAGCGGAAAAGAATCTTTTCCCTCTGCATTTAATTTTAATACAAAAAAATGAAATTAGCATGCACGGTAGGGACTGCCTACCAATCAATTATTACTTAAAAATACATAAACTCCTTGAGTCTGAAACGCATAAAGAATATCCCTCATGAACTCGGCAATAATACAACCCCATATGCACAAAGAATGGGCATAGAACAAAGGCATTAAACTTAAAAATTAAATAAGACAGCAAGGCATGACCATACAGATGCCACACCATCTTACTTCAAAAAACATTGCATGTTAAGATGGAAGGTCGACTAGGCGTACTTTCAATAAGCCATACCGCTGCTACTGGGAAGCGATAGAGCCCAAGAGAGAGGGAACATAACACCTATAGGTGTCAATCAACTATAATGACAGTTAAACCCATAGAGTGAACCGCATCAAGGCCCTACACACTCAATAATCATAGAGGCCATGGGAAAAAAATGTTTTGCTCCCAGTATGCACTGTATTAATCCTTTTCTTTTCTGCAATGGGGTATTTAAATAGTATCACTACCCTACCACTAAATGATTAATGTTCTTTGAGGTCATGCTTAACCTCACGAGTCATGGCTTATTATGCATCGAAGAAATCCAAGAAAGATTTTCAAACAATAACCAAGCGTATCCCACTAAGTGAGGTCGGCTGGCAAGAAAGATTTTCCTTTAACAATTTGAAGTTATTTGTTCAGTATGTCACACCTGGACCACACAAGCCAAGTCTTTGAACAACTGCTTTCACACTCAACCCTAACTCCTCGACTGAATCAAACAGAATCTTATTCGCAACTTCATCACCGGCCTCTGCACAAGAAACAACAACTGGAACAAGTGCTGCAATGCGAGCCCATGATGGGTCTGCATACGTCCACCTAAAATCCAATAGAAAATTATAGTTGTTATCTGATACCCCATACAATTAAACCCCTGGTACTCATTTATAGCAACCTATCTTGTATTTTACGTTTCAGGTGTATGACTGACTGGGTTCTCAATTCATTTTTCTCAACAAGGTTCACAGAGACATACATAAAACACAAAAATTCCTTTTAAATAAAATGTACTTCTACCAAGCATGCATGACAAGCGAACACAAAAAATACACATAATTGCATTTTCAAGAGACTGTCCAATTTTTTAAAAAAAATTATTTCAAGGCAGTAATTATTTAGGGCGTGTAATTATTTATCTAACAAGATCAGTCTCAAAATATGAAATGATTGTACTTCAACAGAACGAGAAGACTTTTATCATATACATTTACACTAGATTTTAGCTACAACGAGTGGAAACCGTCTCACATATTTGCATCACATAACCAGGACCATTCAAGGGATGGAACAAACCTTGTCATCTATTTTCGCCAAAACTGAGTAAATGTTTTGCTGCAGGCAGTAAGATCGGAAAATGACAACTAGTAACTTCACCCATGTATGTGATGATGACATTTATAAGTTTCAGATAGATACCCGATGAGTTCATCTGGAGAAGAAAGACCAAGCTCCTCTAAAATACTAGATGTAAGCTTTGTATCTGGACCACGACCATCATTGGCCCTTACCACCGCAGTTAATGCCTGTGCAGCTATACCGTATCCACTACAAGTAACAAAATATTACCTTCAATAAAACTGCTGGAAAGAGAAGGGGTGTGGAGAACAAGACACCTTTATCCTTACTGATCACATCCTAATTGCAATTGACTACAGAAATTCTGCTTAAAACTGATAAGTGTATTTAGCATATCTACCTGATTTACATACGGCCATGACAACATATAATAAACATAATAGGATGAGCATAATGATAACAAATGATGAGCAGGAAAGGGAAAGATGAAAAATGAAATACGGAAAGAGCTATATGACAGTTCAAACTAAGCATTAAGTCCAAATATGATCAAGAAGTCAGATAAGGACCAAAAGGTTCCCGCTTTAACTTCCTCATTAATTGCTTTCTTCTCACGACCCTTATATATTTCTATATGCTTCGCGGTTAGGATGGTTCAAGCAACAAGGTATCCTCTATAAAGTGGATAAAGCATTAACCATGCTATCCCCTATAATTTTTATAAATTAGGAGCATCCTGAGGGAGAGAATGAGATAGAGAAGAAATAAGAACAAAGCAACAAGGTTATACCTTCCCCAATCACCTAAGGTAGGACCTGCACCGGCTGCCCGAGCTTCTCTACCGTCTTCTGTGAACCCGTACGCAATGGTCCCCGTGCCGGCAATTAGAACACACCCATGAAGCTTCCCCAAAGTCCCACAAGCTAGAGCTGCAACAGCATCATTCTGAACATACAACCTCACATGGCTGGGAAATATATCCCTGTTCACACCAAGAAAAATCAAACCCTTAGTACAAAACAACATTAGTTCGACATTGATATGTGTCAAAAACCTGAAGGGCCAAAAGGGTCCTATGAAGAAACCAATTGGAAAGCACACAAATGGGAACAATGTCGGAAATGTTATAGACTGGAAAGTGTTACCTCAGCCAATCCAATATCCTCTGCTGATCAGTGGGGTGGTTGACACCGGAAAGCGCCAAACAAACAGCCCGAACCACCGATCGGTTCGAACCAGAAATGGCCAACGCTTCCGCCATCACCTGCTCCAATGTTTCTCCTCGCAGCGGCCTCTACAATTTCACCAAAAAGTGATTCCAATAGGGTAAAAAACCATCATCAAAACTTAAAAACAGTAAAAATCAATTGAACACCCCAAGAAATGAAGAACAATTACCGCCAACGCTGTTGTGGTTGGTGCAGCCAGCGACAGCTCGAGCGAGGACGGGAACCGGGTCGGGGAAAGGGTCGGAGAAGGGCAAAATCGGCAGGCAAATGCAGACGGTGGAGGTGGTTCCTCCGTCCAAACCCAATATAACACCGCCAGCGCCGGCGGCCACCGGCATTTGGTGCTCGAAGTCCCAGATTTCTCCGTTCCTGTAGCGCTTCATCTGGATTTTTCACTGTGGGTCGGATTAGATTGGACTGGAACCCGATGGGATTGGAATTCGGCGTTTCTCTGGACGAATCCGAGGGGTTAAAAGGCGCCAATGGGAGCTCGGTCTCTCTGCGTCAGAGACAGAAGGGGATAAACGGAACAGAACAAGGAGGGCAAGGTTGGGGAGACACTGTTAAAAAAATTAAATATTTTTACAATTTTGTTTTTTTTCTCGGACGGCTAATTTTTTTATTAATTTATTTTAATTTATTTGCTAATCATGATTATTATTGATAGTGTGGATTTTAGTTGAAGATTTTTTCTTCATTTTTTAGGGTTTCTAATTGTGATAGATTCTTTTTCTTTACTTGTGTCAAATTCTTTCAAATATTTTTGTTTAATTATTTGTTTTGGGGATATTTTAGTCGTATCGTGCGTTGATTTTTGACGCTTTCAATAATTGCAAATCCAAAACATGTTTCACAACCCATTGTAAATTAGATTACCCAATATTTTAATTCAATATTTATTTAAACAATTGCCGTCCGAAGATGTATATCAGTTGTATACAATCATATGCGTTTATACCTTCCATGTAAAAGCTCAAATTATTTTAAATTATTTGGTTCCTAAACAGAGGCCATTGTTGCCAACGAGGGTTAGCTTAGTTGGTACGGTCTCTGCCTTATGTATTGTCTCATCAAAGTTCGAGTTTTACTACCAGCAGTTCTTGTTGATGCGCGATCTGTAAATTCTTACGTAAATTCAAATCCGTGTCAACTGATAGTTAGGTGTCACGAGTAAATCATTCCGACTCAAGGTTGTGGATATATCCTAGTATTGGTAGTGAGAATAACCAATCTTCGAGGCCACTGTTTGCATTCTACCGCAAGAATGCAAAGGTGGAGACTATGTCTTGTCATGGTATACGAAAAGCCGCGAAGGAAAACGAAATATCGATGCCCTATGCACAGCACTTCTGTACTTTCCATTGGTTATTCAGGCAAGATAATCAACTGTTAGAGAATATACAAAACTGATATCCTTGCTCGACTGGTTCATTCAATTCCAGAAGAAAAAAAAACAACTCCAAATGCAAGAAATACACTTCAAATCGACAGGAATCCTACGTAAGCTCATGTTGGCGATTCGGATGTCAGCTTACAGAGAAGCGGAACTCAAAACTAACCCTAAGAACGGCATTCTTAGTTACACAAAACCCGGACCAACCTAAATCGGTCCCTTGAGTATTGATCCAAAGCCAAACCCAGCAGTGAAAGCGAGTTTCATAGTGGCTGAATTAAATACTGCAGGTTCCTCCCAATGTCACAGTTGTTTGTAATCTCAGTTAAAGCCAATTATTAAGACAAACCAGAAAGGACAATGACCAAGCTTCATTGTGTTCCTTGGGACCCAAGCTTAATATATTCCTAAACAAAACACATAAGAACAACGAAAAGAGATAAAAAGAAAACAAGTACAACTGAGGATTGATGTAATGCCAATATCCAGAAATAGTGTTTGTCTATGACATCATAAGTTTAGCAGCTCGATCGAAGACAAAGTTGATTAGGAAATTATGGCTTAACCCTTTGCTCAAACTGTAAAAGCAGGCGTACGATCGACAATGTGACTTCTCGTATATTGACAGATCAAGCAATATGTCCGTTTTTTAGCGTGTTATGTCCAACTGCAAGTAAAAGCGCATGCCTCAGCAGGACGACTTAACTTGGTTGGCTACGCGTCCAGACAACTTAGAACCATATCAACCAATGTTTAGTGTCCAATCACTCGCCCTACTTGATCCGGAATGAACAAAAACTAAGCCAAAGAAAACAAAATGAGGTGCCTATGTCAGTTTGTCTTCAAGTCACCACAAACGAATTATTAATTCCCTACTAAAACAACATGCCCTAAACCAATATGTCGAGTAAACAGAAAACTAAATGATCAGACAGTTGACTAGACAGATAAGCACAACTATCCTAGGTGAAAAAGTTAATATTCCTATACATAACATAACATATTGCGACCGGTACCACTTGATTGACTTCAGCATCATTTGAGAAACGTAAAAGCAAAAAGAATACCATGCAACACATTCATCCCGCTGTCATTGAGTCTCCTGGGATTCAAGCAATGTTCTTATCTATTAAAAATGTCATTTAGCGAATGATAATTCCGTAATGACATGGTAGTTGGACTGCATATATTCAATATGAATATAGGCATCGACATCAATTGACAACGGTTGACAATCTCTTTAATAAAACAAAAGCATGCTACAAGGCGCTTCTCGACGCCAAATTTAATCCTACAAAATCCTTCAAATCTTTGAATAGACTCACAGAAAGTCAAACAAAAAAGCGTTGCTCAAGAAAACTTGACACTACATAATAAAAATAGAAAATTAATAAATAGCGACTATTTTTATTCAAAAACTCTTAGACAACTTTCGTTATCGTTAAGGACATCTTTTTTATTATTAAGGACATGTTATTTTAATTCAAAACTCTCATGACGTGTGACTCTGCTTTTATTTTTTTGTCCTTATAATAACAAAATGCCTTTAATAATATAAAGAAAATTTGTGAGAGACTTTTGTTTAGTTCTCACTATCCTTTCTTTCTGACCAACAATAATCAGCCCATCTCCTTAATTTTGAGTCAGACCGGCTTGGGCCAGGCTTTGAACCCTGATGGGATCCGCCGCTGCTGCTTCCATTAGCGTATCGGATTGGGATTTACGGAGATAATTGTTTCGTTTAATTTTTGTTTTTTGTTTTTTTTTAGATTTTTGAGTAAGAGGTGATTGTAGAGAGATCATCTATCTGAATTATATTTTGCATACCATATGATGTAACATTTGATGATTGATTTCTTCGTTTAAATCATTAAAAAAGGTATCCAACAATAAACCGCGATATCATGTAATTTACAAAATATAATATAAAACATGATTTTCCTATTCTTTTTCTTTAGTAAGTTCGACTTGTCAATAAGAGTCTTAAGTTTGCCTCCTCTTAAATTCAACTTATGGTATTGCGAGTTCGATAATTGTTATGTCGACACATTTCATAATTGGCAAATTGGTAGTTATCCTAGTGTAAATATATACTTAAAAAAGGAATTAACTTGTTTCTTTAAAATTAAACAGATCTAAAGATACTTAAGCAAAAATCATTTACCCAAAAAATAAGCAAAATATGAAATCATTTAGTTAACAAACTATACAAAAACATATGGATGGATCTGATAAAATAATTACGAATATGATCATTAGAGAATAATTTTTAATGTGAACGATTCTGATTATAAAAACGAAGTTATAAAAATCTTAAAAAGTTGAGCCTTACTTTTTCAAAAATAAAATAAATACGAATTTCTGTGAATATTTCAATTTTATTTTGGACAAGCTCTCTTTTTTCAATGTGTGTGTTGCTCACACATACAATTGGAGACACGTAGCAATTTTGTGAACATGTTGTTGATGAACGGTTAACAAGTTTGTCACGTGATGTTAAGATATAATGACATATTATTGATATACTATCGGCACATAATTAATACATTATCGATACAAAATTCAACATTTAGCAAATTACATAAATATTGCATAGCAGATTTACTACCATTTTCCTTTGATAATGGAGCTCAATTTCAACTTTCATTCTCTTTGACTTGTCCAAACATTGAATTAAATAGCCAACGGTAAAAGACCAAACTCCCACAGTAATACTGGATGATCTAATCCAATGGGCACTGAACAAATAGTATCTGATCGATCTGGATTTGGTTTTGACTGACCGGCCTTATCCCACCCAATTCATATCCCTCACTCTCAATTTCCAATGCCAGAAACGCACAGCCTTTAGAAAATCCGATCCAAAAGTCGTTTCCAAACACCCACAATGCCACCGCCGGCGGCGCTCTCAGCTTCCTCCTCCTTCACTCTCCTCTCCCCACCTCCCTCCCCAAAGCCAAAGCTCCCGCCTTTCTCCCCCAGAAAACACTTTTTCGCCATTAACCCCCGTCGCCACTCACTCCACTCCGCCCCCTCCTCCGCCGTCCGATGTGCCGTCATCGAGAAAGAGACTCCAGAGGCCCACCGCCCCGACACCTTCCTCCGCGAGAACTCCTCCTCGTCCTCCGTCCGGGGCCGCTTCGAGAAAATGATAAGAGACGCCCAGGACACCGTCTGCGCCGCCATTGAGGCGGCTGACGGCGGTGCCACGTTTAAAGAGGATGTGTGGTCGAGACCCGGCGGCGGCGGAGGCATCAGCAGGGTTCTCCAGGACGGTGCTGTTTGGGAGAAGGCTGGTGTCAATGTCTCTGTTGTGTACGGCGTTATGCCTCCCGAGGCCTACCGAGCTGCCAAGGGCGCCGCCGCAGCTGATCACAAGCCTGGCCCGGTTCCCTTCTTCGCCGCCGGAGTTAGCTCGGTAATTTCGTGAGTTCTGCTCTGTTTGTGAACAAAGAAATGTTGGGTTTTCTTATTTTGTGTTTGTAATATGTGGGGTTGCATTTTGGTTTTTGATTGCTTTCAGGTTTTGCATCCGAAGAACCCGTTTGCGCCTACTTTGCACTTCAATTATCGGTATTTCGAAACTGATGCTCCACAAGGTATGAATGTGAATCTAATTGCTCATTACTTTTTCGTCGATTGTACATTGCTTAGTTAGGTGGTGTTAGTTGGCAGGCAGGCTTGAATCCATCGTTTTTCAAAGTACTGATGTAGTAGATGATCTCAAATTGGTATAGCATTTTAGCTCATACTTGTGTAGGATAATGCAAATGAAAGGATTTGACATGTTGCCAAAGATGAGGTCGAATTGGATATAAATGTGCAAAAGTAGAATTATAATGAAAATTGTGAAACCCAGAAGCCAGAACCTGCTGCCTTGTGACTGGGCAGTAGATTATGCTCACATGGTAGAAATGATATGTTGATAGTATGAGTAATACCTTTTATGGATTAATTAACGTTTAATCTGCTAGCAGTTACAATAGCAGAAACAATTACTATACTTACTACCGGCGGTAAGATATTTCTTATTGTCAACATCTGAAAAATTTGCACGTTTCTTATATCATGATTTGTCACATTCGTAAACTTGTGTTGAGATTATGAGTAATACTTGTGTAAAATAGTTTATGAAAAGGAACACTGTTTGGAGTCTATCTTGATTTGTCACATTTGTGCAGATGCTCCCGGAGCACCTAGGCAATGGTGGTTTGGGGGTGGAACTGACTTGACACCTGCTTATATTTTTGAGGAGGATGTTAAGCATTTTCATTCAGTATGTACTCAAAGCAGACAACTTTCCTCATGGTGTTTTGTGATTAAAGCTCCGCTTTTTGAACATTCTCATTCTTATGAAAATTGCTGGGAGGCGTTAACCAACTGCATACTAATGTTAGCCTAAACTCTGTAGGTTCAGAAAAGTGCTTGCGACAAATTTGATCCTGCCTTCTATCCTCGGTTCAAGAAATGGTGTGATGATTATTTCTATATCAAGGTATTTTACTAGACCTGTTTTACTGTTGTGTTATGAATTTATAATATGGTGTTGATGATGCATTGATGTTTTCTAAACTCTTAACAGTCAATTTGGCTAACTTCTTAGGAACTAACAAAAGACGTGCCTGCAGGCCAAATAACTGCATTCTTGTTCCTGTTTGCTTATAAAATATTGGTGATATTATTTTGTGAAATGCGTATGTTGACATTCTCATTGTAATGCAATTGATTGTGGGATTGTGATTGTTGTTGTGTGTCAAATTACTCCAATTGTTACAATTTGGATGAGGTTTACCCATCACGAAAATCTTGATGGACACATACAAACATTCAATACTAAAACTACTCGGTTATATGATGTCTGTATGTTTTCACGCTTCATCTTAAGCTCCTGCCTGACGATGTTGTTGTAGTCATATGCTACTGGTTAGCTTAACTTTATCCTTATAGTATCAAAGCATATTATATGTCTTCAATGTTAATAACTCAAGGTTTATAGTTTTGGTTTTGGGTTGTGTAATGTGCACTAACATGTAACATGGTCATGCATGCTATGATTTTGCCCCCCTCAGGCAGTCTTCCCAATCAAATGAAGAGTAAAATCCTATTGCCACTTCCCAATCATTTACTCTTAAACTACTGATTTGGTTATAATCATGATGCTGACTAAATGGGATAAAAGTACTTGGGATTTTGGACTCGTTCAGATGCCAAGTTGCTATGTTTTCCTGGTACTATTTTGTTTGATATTTGACAATCTTATCTGTATGCAGCATCGAGATGAGAGGCGAGGACTTGGAGGAATATTTTTTGATGATCTAAACGATTATGATCAGGAGATGCTTCTTTCCTTTGCCACAGGTATTGCTTAGAAATATCCAATGTTCTTTCTCCTTGTGTATTTTCCATTAATTATTTCTTTCTAGTTGAGTGACAAAATCCTCTTCCTGTGCACACTTATGTTGACGTGAAGAATGTGCAAATTCTGTGGTCCCTGCTTACCTGCCAATTATAGAGAAAAGAAAGGACCTGCCATTTACAGATGAGCAGAAGGCATGGCAGCAATTGCGAAGAGGGCGCTACGTCGAGTTCAATTTGGTATGAAAATAAGTCCGGAAGACATTAGAAGAATTTCATATCATCAGGACTTAAGTAAATGAGGTCTAATTCATATTCTTCTTTTAAACAAAAGGTTTATGACCGCGGAACAACTTTTGGACTAAAGACAGGAGGTCGAATTGAGAGTATTCTCGTCTCTCTTCCACTGACTTCTCGATGGGAATATGACCATGTAAGCTTACTGGATCTCTCTTTACGATATTTTACTTCTGATTCTACTGAAAAACGGAACAGTTTGAAGTTTTGAAGTCATCATTGAGGGAGTGAATTTATTGTTTGCTGTGCAGAAACCAGAAGAGGGAAGCGAAGAATGGAAACTATTAGATGCTTGCATCAACCCAAGGGAATGGGTTTAATGTTTTGAAATTTATCTTTAATTGTCTGATCTTCGTTTTTTTTTCTATCATAATCCGTTTGATTTGTTTCTTTAATAGTTTGAGAGTTAGAGGTTAGCAGTCGGTATCTTGATCAAAGTGTAATACATGTACAAGGCAATGTAAGTTGTGAATTGTCAACTTTTGTAAGATTAGAAACTCTTGTTGAATAAATCTCGGGATGATTAACCATTTTCGAACTTGTTTACATCCTGCAATATATTCTGAATATATACAAGTTGATCGATGTACTGTTTTTCCAATGGAAACGAGGCTCGGAAATGAATACGGAATTTTCTCTACGTCTTGTTAGTGAGATTTGCTTTCTCTTCTTACTTCTCTTCTTACAGCTAGCTTGCTGAATATCTTATTCAACTTTCTGTTTCTCCAAACGCTGTGCACCTCTACCACCCTTGCTTCAACTCCATTCACATAGTTTGCCGGATTTCGTAGGAAAGTACTAATATACCCTTACACAACAATTGTATCAAAATAAAAACTCCGAAAATGGATAATTAAATCCATTTCCACTACAAGTTCAAAGACAAAACATACCGAAATCATATAATGCAGAAGAGAAATGCCAAATAAAAAGTTACACTAAATTCAAAATCGACAAAACCCAGCTTATAGATAATCATCTACTTTTTTATGCTAGTTAGATGCCCCAAACTTGTAAAAAAAAATTGCGAAATGTAAACGAATCAACGTGTGTGGTGGGGTGGTGCCGCAATAAATCTATGTAGACATGCTCTCTAAGAGGTATCAGACATGAGCATTCACAATTGGAGCAATCTTCCTCAGTTGTCCATGAGGCATTCGCGGAAACAAATGATGTTCGATAGGTGTTGCCGGAGAAATGACTCGATGTGAACTGGATGTGCTTGAGCGATATTAATGCAAATGCTGCTAGCACAAACATAACCCTCTCACTGGGCAAACACGAAACGAGGAGAGGAAACCACGTCCAAAAAACTAGGATACCCATGATGTTCAATCCTTTGTTTAGGACATTCTGCCTCGAAAACAAGAGCAAGATGTTTGGATAAACAAATTAAACCTCCCCACCATCTTAACCAGATAACAAGTTTCGTTTATCACGCACAAATCAAACTGAGAATATCCTTGCGTTCGAGTTTTTTTGGATCTGTATTCAAACACTTTCCTTATCTGTCAATTTCTATTTTAAGGGTATATTAGTATTTTTATATCAATTTTTTGTTATAATTATTATAAACTTAAAATTGTGGCTATAATTTTACATGGGATTTTTATCGCAAATGGTCTATGAGATTGATCAAACTCATCATTTTGGTCCCTCACTTTCAAAATCAATCAATGTCGTCCCTGACATTCATTATCGCACATCAATTTGGTCATTTTGTTAAGATTCCGTCAACTATTTTGTTAGTTTGTATGTGGGAGCCACAAATCCAATGAAATGGTGACACGTGGATTACACAAAATAAGAGTTTTATCGCAAATGGTCCCTGACATTGATCCAACTTCTCATTTTGGTCTCTGTGTTTCAAAAATCGATAAATTTGGTCCCTGACATTCAATACTACACATCAATTTAATCATTCTGTTAAAGTTTCGTCAAAATTTTTTGTCCCACTAATCCAATCATATGGCGTCGCATGAATTAACTATAAGAAACTATTAAAAGGAAGGCACCATGACACCACTAAAGTACTTGACCTCTTGAACTCACTCCTCATTCTCTCTAGTTGGTTATAATCCTAAATCCTATCAAATTTAAATTGAATTTATTTTCCAATTGGGGTTGTGGGATGCGAGAAAAATGTCAACGCGGAATACTTTTCTTTTGGTTCACTAAAAAAAAAAAAAGTTTCTTATAGTTAATCCACGTTGAGCCATATAATTGGATTAGTGGGACCACATTAACTGAGGGAATAAATTGATGCGTGATAGTGAAAGTCAGAGACCAAATTTATCGATTTTTGAAACTTAGAGACCAAAATGAAGAGTTGGATCAATGTCAGGGATCATTTGCGATAAAAACCCTTATCTTGTGTAATATACATGTGCAACATTTGATTGGATTTGTAGCTTCCACATACAAACTAATAGAATAGTTGATGAATTCTTAACTGAAAGACCAAATTGATGCGAGGTAGTGAATGTCAGGAACTACTTGATTTTGAAAGTGAGGGACCAAATTAATGAGTTTGGTCAATCTTAAGGGACCATTTGTGATAAAAATCTTTCTCCATGGATTCTAAATTTTAGTTATTTTTCCAAATTTCCCCTCCTTATCGGCCGTCTACCACCCTTCAATCATCTTCGTCAGAGAGGAGGGAAATAAATTGAGGGAAATTAATACGTAGACAGGAAGGTCATTCTCTGAACGCAAGGTATTTTAGGGTTCTTAATTCTAAGAAGACATAGGATTTAGATCATTTTTATGTGCATGGGAATGAAATCATGGTTGTAATCTCAAGTTTTGCCATCCTCTTTTATCCCCTCTGTTTGTATGAAATTCATCAGCTTGATAACAAGTTAATTAATGGAGATACTTCTTACAAAGTTTCGAAGTAATTCGACAAAAGTGACGAAGTATCCTTAGCCATTACTGAAGTATCTTGAGTTCCTTCTGTTTACTAGATTCTGCAAGCATCCTGAAGGATCACGCTGACCAGCCTTTTGCATCAAATGTTCTGTCAAGCAGTAGATCATATCCCTCAGCTGAGTTTTGGATGCTTGCACTACCTCCTAGTTACCTGGCGAAAGCAAAGTCTCTACATACAATACATAGCTAATTGAAGAGACAGAGACTTTTTAGGCTTAATAGCACTCCTATATCTTTTTTCCATTGCATCGTATAATATTAAGTCACCGCTACTTGCAGCCGATGAAAACTTTATCATCCTCCAACACATATAAAAGCTGTGGATTTATATAGGGTATCTCGTTCAGCACTATCAGTTTGGTCCTAGATTCCTCGAATCCGAATTCTACCATTACCCATATTTGTAAACATTCATTGTTTATCAACATCATCAACCAAACCATAAACTACATCAACCCGAAATCATCACTCAGTAAAAGTATTCCATTTAAGTGTACAAGACAATAAGCTTACTTGCAGGATTCGCCATGACAACTAGCAGCAAGGTTCTTCTCTTCTCTTAGATTCGTAATAGTTCTCACTTTCAATAGGACTAGTGCTATATGAACATGGTAATATGAGAAGAGGGACCAAGCTATATTTATTGTCTAAAATGACAACTACCCCTCCTATCATGGTAGCAGTTACATGTCAGTTTTTTTAGAGTTTGAAACCAACTCTAATTCAAAAGTTTGAGTTCTATTGTTTCCCTCCTCTGTAATTTATCATAATTAAATTACTAAAAGCTCAATATTAATATAAGTCCATTTGTTTTCTTTACATACTCTAAACTATGGTTTTATTATTACTCACATCATGGAAAAATCCTAACATTCTCCCACATGAGTATAATTAAACCATACACAACATATATGTTCAAGCAAATGAAGGTGATCACTGACTTTTATTAATCATAATGACTTTTACAATCATCCACCATAACTCATCAGTTGAACTCAAGAAAACTTCATACATAATACATCATATGAGTACTCCAGAATTACAGACTGATCAAATCAAGTGAAAGCATCGTAAATTGGAGAGCTTCAGTAGAGAGCTAAATGGTACCAGTATTGCTCCCACATTCGATCGGTCCTCTTGATACCTTTATGTATCCTTCATTATTTCTGCATTACGTAACATTCCATGAAGCACATGAAATAACCAAAAATGCAGAGTACATATAAGAAATGTTGTCTGAAGCTATACCAAACATCATAGCTTTATAAACATCAAATCATCAATATAAGTAAAGTTATCATACCTTACTCCCACATTCAAACATTATCAAGACATCCTTGCAAACCCATATTAGTTACATGTCGTTGGAAAGCTGTCACATGTAAGGCCTTTGTCAATAGGTCTGCAATCATGTTGAAAGTCCCAATATGTTCTATCTTGATTATTTTCTCCTTGACCTTGTCTTGTACTTTCAAATATTTGATGTCCATGAGCCTTGATGCCTTTGATCTTCTATTGTTTTTAGCAAAGAAAACAGCTGCAGCATTGTCACAATAGATCTTTAAAGGCTTTTCAATGCTCCTTACAACCTCCATTTCACGAATTAAGTTTCTTAGCCAATTACTTTGCTTCATTGCCTCGAAACAACCAATGTATTCTGATTCCATTGTTGACACAGCCCTTGTAGTTTGCTTCTTACTCCTCCATGAGACTGCTCCTCCACACATCATAAAAATATATCCACTTGTTGACATCCTATCATCCACACAACCACCTAAGTCAGCATCAGTGTAGCCACTTCTAGATTTTCTATTTTATGAAACCCCAAAACATAATCTCGGGTCTTCTTCAAGTACCTTAGAACTTTCTTTCCTGCATTCCAATGTGCCACACCGGGATTCAATTGAAATCTCCCTAAGACACTCAATGCAAAAGCCAAGTCTGGTCTAGTGCACTCTTGTGCATACATCACACTTCCCACTAATGAAGCATAAGGCTTACTTTTCATGTCTTCAATCTCAAGGTTTGTAACTAGACACTGAGCCAAGGATAGTTTATCTCCTTTGCCTATAGGTGCATCACCATTGCTGCAATTTGCCATGTTGAATCTCTTAAGAACTTTGTAAATATAGTTCTTTTGAGAAAGACCAATGGTTCTCCTTGACCTATTCCTCACAATTTCAATGCCCAAAACAAAGTGTGCTTCACCCAAATCCTTCATGTCAAAACTGTTGGATAACATACTTAACTAGCCAAAAGTATGTCATCAACATATAAAACCATGAAAATGAAATCTAATCTTATCCACTTCATATATACAGTTGTCAATTTTATTCTCTACAAAGCCAAGTGAAGTCACTACCTGATCAATTTTCTTGTACCATTGTCTAGAGGCTTGCTTAAGTCCATAGATCGACTTATTGAGCTTGCATACATAACTCTCATTCCCCCTTTCAATGAATCTCTGTGGCTGTTTCATATAAATGGTTTCATCAAGATTGCCATTCAAAAAAGCAGTTTTGACGTCCATTTGATGCAACTCAAGGTCAAAGTGAGATGTGAGAGCCATGATAACTCTAAAGGAATCCTTGGTGGAAAC